GCTCATACGTCTGATGCAAAAATGAAATAAAAAGGAAAATACATTAATACTCATTGATACGGAAGATTCTATTTGGTAACACCTATGTTTATACATATTTGATGTTGAGCCAAATAGATGACGCCAAACGTAATGAACATTATGTTGATTCTTCTATATCTGATTTTTTTTAAACAGATAAATTAATGGCTACCATCCCAGAGATCGAGAAGCGTAATTAAGGAAAAGGTGGCTCCCGACATTAATCGAATCCTATTCCCGTTTCAAACACGGAAACCATTTTTAATCTAATGTGCCCTATCTTACTTTAAGCCAATGATTTTCAACCGCCGTGCCGCAGCACACTTGTGCGCCAGGAGACCCTCTTAAGTGTATCGCGAAATAGTGTCACGGCATTCTTATGTGAATTAGGCTTCTCAAATCTAAATAACATCAAAAATAAGAAGCGAGAAAGACTACGCTCAACTGAAGACGAAATGAGGGTCTGCTTATGGCACATTGAACCAAATATTGAAGTAATCGTGAAAAAAAAAAAAAACACCAGGCACATGTTTCACACTAAGTAAGCTGCACAAATAGTTGAATAGAAACACTGAAAAAAATTAAGTTCATGCCTGTGTATTTAAAAAAAAACTATATTTCATAACAATTAAGTGTGTATACTTTAAAGACTTTCCTAAGTGCGATATAATGAACTGTTAGCAGAGGATTTACAATTATTCTTGACGACCTACTACCAGCGATCAGCCAACATACGAAGGCTTTATCAGTTTTTTTTTGTTGTTTTTTTTTTACAATTTTCTACTTATTTATGTGAATTCGGCTTCTCAAATCTAAATAACATCAAAAATAAGAAGCGAGAAAGTCTTCACTCAACTGAAGAAGAAATAAGAGTTTGCTTATCGCTCATTTGACCAAACATTGAAGAAATAGCGAAAAATCACCAGCCACATGTTTCACACTAAAAAAAAAACTGCAGAAATAGTTGAGCAGAAACATTCAAATAAAGTCAGTTCCCATTTATTTGTGTTTTTTTTTAATCTATGGTTTGATTTCATAACATTTAAATACATACACTTTAAAAGATTTTACTAAGTGTTCCGTGATATTTTCATTTGCTTCTCGGTGTGCCGTGGCTTAATCAAAGTGAGAAACACTGCTCTAGACAAATCATGTCATAAAATGACGTCACCGAAATTAAGATGAAAAACGTACTAGATAATAATTAATAACGATTGACAATCTATTAAGAATTCATTATATTAAAACTAATATTTCCAACCACCGTAGGATTTGCCTCCCTTTTCTCTAAATACTTCCATGTCAACTGTTCGTATGAATTAGACTGGCAAAAAGATGTCATTATTTTGCAATTGAATTGGTTTGATGTAACCATAAGTTCTATGCTGACAGTTTCTTTTCTCACCTATGGAACTCTTTTCATTAGTTTTATTGCAATTTTATACTTCTTATTGATGTGAATTAGGCTTCTCAAGCCTAAATAACATCAAAAATAAGAAGCGAGAAAGACTTCACTCAACTGAAGAAGAAATGAGGATCTGCTCATCACACATTCCACCAAACATTGAAGAAATCAAGAAAAAACACCAGCCACATGTCTCACACTAAATAAGCTGCAGAAATATTTGAATAAAAACATTGAAATAAATTAAGTTCATATTTGCAAGTGTATTTTTTTAATCTATGGTTTTATTTCATAACATTTCAATGTATACACTTTAAAAGATTTTACTCAGTTTGCTCCTTGTTTTGCCATTGCTTAAAATGGTTGAGAAACACTGATCTACAACATTAAAACCTGTCAGAAAACATATCACACTTAATCAAACCGCTGAATTAGTTTCGCAATTAGTTTCGTGAATTTTTATATATATATATATATATATATATATATATATATATATATATATATATATATATATATATATATGTGTGTGTGTGTGTGTGTGTGTGTATATGTGCGTGTGTCTGATTAATAATGATACAGCGTTAGTATTTGAATAAATGAATAAGTATTAAGCTTTTTATCCCACATTAGCTAAAAAGTCTTTATCAGTTTTATAGCAATTTTATGTCACTTAGGACTCTCAACTCTAAATAACATCAAAAATAAGAAGCGAGAAAGACTACGCTCAACTGAAATGGGGGTTTGTTTGTTGCATATTCGGTCAAACATTGACGAAATCGCGAAAAAAAAAAAAAACCAAAAAAACCACCAGGCACATGCTTTACTTAAAATAAGCTGCACAAATAGTTGAATAGAAACATTGAAATAAATAAAGTTCCTATTTGCGTGAGTATTTTTAAAACAATTTTTTAGCAATCAGTGGATTTATTCGATTATTTCTTATTACTATAAGAATAAAAACAAAAATTCTTTGAGCTTTATTTCTCTTCACTGCAAAACCGGCAAACACTTAAATGTTGGCTGATTATCTTGTCATTATTACAGGAGAAATAAACCCCAATATATATATATCAATGATTGATAGTGGCCTTCGATTTATTCCTACGAAAACAGAAAGGGGTCGAAAACAAAAGGATAATACCGTCATTTTCAAAACAAATCACTCTAAACAAAATTTAAATTTACACCCATGTTATCAATCTCTCCACAGTAACATTTTACATGAATTGAAAACAATTAAATATTACCTTTCTCTGCAGTACTTTGCCAAAATAGGTTCCTCCTAAAAATAGATGTGAATGAAAAGTTTAATCTTTAATATTTCGAATGAATTTATATTAAAGATAGTTATTAGTTACGGCCAAAATATTAATGATAGTCCCTAGGATTTAATAACTTTAGTTTAATGTTGAAGCTTGAATAAGCATGGAATAATAATAATACAACACAAAATGTACGTAACAAAATGTATTGAAACAATGAAAAAAGGTACACAATATTTACAGGTAGTTTTGGTATATTCTTGGGAAGACTGTTCCTGCAGAATGGGTTGACTAAGTCGCAGTCGGGCAGAGTCTCTGGATTCGATCTCTTAATCTTATTATTTATTGCACATATGTACAAATGTGGCACAAGGCCGAAAAGGGATTGGGGTGAAGGACGGTCATCACTAGTCTTAGATTAAACTTAGCTAGCCACAATCACTGACCCTATCATACAGAACAATATTCCTTTCACCAAAACAACACATTTATCCATACCTTTCTTACTACAAACACCAAAATGCCTCTCTGACTCCATGAAAAAACCTAAATAATCCCCTTATGTACAAAATATTTGTCTGTGGGGGGAGGGGCATAAAAAACAACAACTTTTAAAAATGAACCCCAATGAATATATACAAAATGACAAAATATATTTACAAGAAACCAAATAAAATTAGTGTTAGTACTAAAACCCCCCACAAGCTCTATGAATGTGGCAGAAATATCAGTTAACTGGACGAAATCGATGCGGGACTTATGAAAATAAGGCCACACTCATTCATCCCAAGCACTCACACAGGCACACACTCATTTATACACAACAACAAGTACGAAAAAAACACACACGAAACGAAAGGCGCCCCACATCTACCAGAGAACTGACATTACTGACCACCAAAAAAAAAAAACGAGGGGAGGGATGGGGAGTTAAATAAAGGAAGAAAAAAAATGGGGACAGAAATAAAAGGGGACCAATGAGCAAATACACCTTAGCTAAGTTTACCAGAATAAAAAAACTAAAAGAAAAAATACAAAAACCTAATCTAACCTAACTCCGGGATGGGTTGCCTATGTTCAACCCAGGAAAACAATATCCCACGCCTAACTGGCATCCAAATGCCACTCAAGGTCAGCCCCTTTTACTCGGCACATTCGCGCAAGAATCACCCACCTTTTGCTGAATTCCGATGAGGTGAGCCGCCGTTTTTCCGTCCTGATCTTGACTTTAAGCTGATGCTTAAAGAATAAGATCAGTTGGGAAGAAGTGAACTTCTCGCCCTCATGGAATCCCTTCTGACGCGTCGTCCAAATCACGACTCTCATAACCCCTAGTAAGCAACAGAACACATAGTGTTCAGCCTTCGTCATCTGCGGCACCACATTGCTACAAACAGCTCTGGCATCCAGGACAAAAACCTTTCCATGCAGCATGCGAACCATGAGGCCCTCAAGAAACTTGCACAACGGCACTATCACCCTGCACTGAAAGAAGGCGTGACCAATAGTCTCGACTTCCCCCGTACAGCGACGACAGTTTGGACAATTCTCCAAGCCTGCTGAACAAAGTCTCTTGCTGACCCAGAGGGCTTTACGAATCACCAGCCAGGTGAGTGATGCCTCATCGTTATTGAGACATTTCAACCCGGGCGCCCAAGGCCATATCGAGCGAGCCTCCCGCTTCGTAAGACCGAGCTCGCCAATCAGATCATCTTGTACGGACCCCCTAACTAAAACTTGATATAATGTTTGCGAGACAACGCCTGGGCGTTGAGAGACCATCCGAAACCCGTAAGAGGAGCTTCAGAGCGCGACGACATTCACGATAAAAAGAGCACTCGGCACGTGGTAAACGGCCGGCCTCTTGTTCGCACGAGTGCACACTTTTCAGGGATGGAAAATGTTTCTGGACGTCTTCTTTCCAAAAGGCACCCTCCTCATTCGACCCACGACACATTCGGTCTAAAAAAGTAATGCGAAGCATATATTGACGGATCTCAATGCTAGGCATCCCCAGACCGCCCTCAGAGGGATGGAGGCAACAGACCTCGCGAGATACCATAGGGGCCTTGCCTCTCCACAAGAAAGAGAACAAGGTCCTGACTAATTGCATTAGTCGGGCATACGGGAGGAAGCACAGAGAGTCGCAGAGAGGAGGATCGGATAGAAACACATACTTCCGCCCTTCCCTTCAGGGAAAGTCTCCTCCGAGACCACAGATTAACCGCGATCTCGGCCTTCCTTGTACCTCCGACCAGTTCATTTCAACTGGAGATCAGGACCGAACCAGACGCCGAGTATCTTGATCGGCCCATCCGTCCAGAGGAAAGGTCCGGAAGAGAAACTCCTTCCACGCACCCAACCGCAAGCCCACAGACTTATCACGGTTGATCCTGGCCCCTGTCACCATCTCATACCCATTTTATTTCTTTGCTGACTTCGTCAATCTCGGCTCTGCTCGACACAAGAGCCGAAACGTCGTCAGCATAGGCAGAATACCTGGCCGAGGTGGTAGCGCCAGGCAGGGTAATTCCGCGCAGGACCGGATTCGCCTTTAACTTGCGAAGGAATGGTTCCAACGCAAGAACGTAAAGCAAGGGCGATAGCGGACAACCTTGACGAATGGAGCGAGACAATACGAAAGGCTCCGACCTTACCCCATTCACTTCCACCAGCGCACCGGGGGTCGCATACAAGAGCCGGATCCAGGAGCGAAAGTCGGCTCCGAAACCGGCCGCCGACAGGACAGCCTCCAGAAACCGATGGTCAACCCTATCGAAGGCCTTGGACTGATCTAAATTGATCAGCGCGGCTTCACTGTCGACTTGTTCTAAGATCAAGCGTACCATATGAAGGTTATCCTGAATCGTCCTGCCCTTCACAGCACAAGTCTGTTCGGGGCCAATCAGACGAGACAGGACAAGCTGCAAACGGTTGGCTAAGATCTTCGCCAAAATCTTTAAGTCAGTATTTAACATCGTCAAGGGCGAAAGTTCCTAACCCATCCCCACCGTTCTTGTCCTTACGCAACAACTGATCACACCCCTGGTGAAGCGTCGAGGTAAAGACCCCTGCCTCATCCAGTGGTTGTAAATCAGCTGCAGCAAAGGAACAAAAACGGGCGACAGCCTCAAGTACACTTCGTAGGGAAGTCCATCTAGTCCCGGAGACTTATCCAGGCCAACCTGCTTCAGCGCATCCCAGATTTCCGACTCTGTTATGGGACCCTCGCACCCTAGCCGCTTCCAGCTGCCTCAAGGCAGGGAAAGTCAGCCAAATAGGGCATCGAACTGGAGCAGAGCTCAGACCGGGCCCCTGGTGAAAAGATCCTGAAAATAAAGCCGAAAGGCCTCGCATATGCCCGCGCTTGTAGTCACGGTCCGCTTATCCGGCAATGTGACGCACGCTATATGTCGCTTAGCCGCGTTCCGATTTTCCTCTGCACGCAATTCTGCGGCCATATTCGTCGCCTCAGAAGACATTCTCTTTAGCCTAGCCCTAACTACCAGAGCTTGATCCTTCTTGATAAGCAAGGAGGCCAACTCTGCCTTAGCTAAGACTATGTCCCCACTAACACGGGATTTGACGGCCCGATCAACTTTATCTTTAATGCCGTTTGCGCCGCTAGTCTATCTAGATTGAGTCGACGACTAAAAATCGGCAGCAAACGTTCTAATTTTTGATTTTAATTTTCCCCACCAGGCGTTACCCACAACCGCCCCCCGTCAATTCCTCTGAATCATTAGTAGCAGCTGGTCCTGGAAATCCTGTTCACCGAAAAGTGAACAGTTAAATTTCCAGTAACCAGCCAATCTAACCTTAGGTTTATCTAAGTTTACACGGACCCGGACAAGTTTATGATCCGTGTAAACTATATAATGGAAACTTGGACACTCTAAGAGCCCTACGTCGACTCTCCTAACCAACACTCGGTCCAGGTAGCTCGCAAGCGAGCCACTGGGCCGAGTTGCCACTAGTTGTCCAAGTCCATGCTACCTCCTGAGGGTGCTCATTCCGGTACTTATCGACAAGATCAAACCTGTCGATAAAGTCCCGAAATGCCTTCACATCAGGATTGTTAGTACCCGGTTTTTACCTATACGATCTATATCGGGGTCAAGGACGGCATTCCAATCCCCCGCTAAGACTACCCGACGAGAAGTCGTCAAAAACGGCTCGATCTGCCGAAACAAAGCAGGCCGCTCAGCATGAACATTGGGCGCATAAACCCCAATGAGACGTAAAGCCTTATCCTTTATAGTAACATCCAGCACGCAAAGCCTGCCCGCCGGATCTGCGAAGACAAGGGAACATGCAGCCCAAAGACTTGCTCACTAGCCAAGAGACACCCCTCGAACGACCATCAAACATGCTGAAAAAAGGGCGAACCCCTTCACGGTCATGAGAAGAAAAATGGGTCTCTTGCACACAACAAACATTCACCCTGAGGCGCTGAAGGTCACGAGAGAGCCTCGCCCTGCGAGACTCGGACCTCAGGCCCCGCACATTTAACGTAGCTAACCAGAGAGACATGAGAAGTCCGATTAGGGTTGCTTACCAGCATTAAACATGGCCGGGGTAAGGATACCGACCGCGTCTCCCATAGACCCATGGCCCATCTCATTCTTGATGGTGCCGTCTTGGGAGATACCGCCGATATCCCAGGGGAAGGTCAATTTAAGAGCTCTATACAGGGATGGGTGAACTAAAACGGGGACCCTCCCTGCACAGAACTGTTGTAACTTTTTTAATTTGTCGTTTTCGACTATGGCGATGGGCAAAGCCATCTTACAGGCATTTACAGCTTCCTCCACCATCGCCCACGTTTGATTGGCTGCAGGTCCTGACCTAATAACAGTCAGGACCCTCTGGGCATTTGGGAAGTTTTTAGGCTCCTCGATATCAAGATCGGCAAACTGTTTAATAGAAAGCAGGAACTTCAAGTCTTTCACCCTGTTACTATAGTCCCGGGCTCTTTCGGCCTGGGCAGGGGAAATACGGCATACCTCCTCTCCTGTGTTGAAAATAAATCTTTTCTTTCTATCTTTTTTTTCTTCTTTTTGTGTTGGGCTTCTTTGCCGCTTGGGAGCAGGAGGAGGCATCTCGGCATTTTTTGCTGGTGATTGCTTGGGGGTATGAAGGGGGTGGGTTTTTTTTGCTTAACGGGGGAAGGGTGGGAGTGTTCATGGGGGTATAAAAGGATCTATGCCTATAGGGGCTGGGATCCTCTACTGGTGGGTTTGGCCTTTAGATGGTGAAATAGCAGGCGATGAAGGGGTTGTTTCTTTGGAGAAGGGGCGGGTCTACTAGAGGACGTAGAAGGGCTTGGCCTTTTTCTTTCCGAATCCAGCCTCTTTTTAATCTTTTGAGTTTTCGGACTTTTCATAACCGGGATCAAATCTTTTTTGTTTTTCTTGAAATGATTCTTCGAGGCCGGGGCATCGCCCTTAACGTTGTTAGAGGGTGGGACTGTATGTGCCTTTCTTCCTAGGGGGCTTCAGGGGACTGAGGACCCGCTGTCCGGCGCTTCCTCTGGCCTTACTAGCAACCAGCCATTCCTCCCCTTCTCCACAACTGCACCGGCAGCGGGCGAAGGCTCTTTGGGGAATGTGGCTTTCGATGTTGCGCCGACCGGAGGATTAACCGACCCGGTCCCGGAGGCTGGTACGCCCATTACAGGCGAGACGGAATTTAGAGACGCGGTCAGAGGGGGATCTTGGGTAACTGGCGCTTGACTTCCAGGGGCCTTCTTCTTCTGGGCAGGAGGAGGAGAGATGACCAGTCACTCCACACCTCCAGCATACCGGTCTTCGACCCGTCACAATGACCGGTAATTTCAAGACGCCAACATCCAGACAGTTGGGGATGGAGCGGAAGGCCTTCTCGTCCAACATGATGTCAAAGCTCCACCCCCGCTCAGGCTATCACAGGAAGCTCCCAGAATTTCGCCATACTGAGAGAAGAACGCTGCGAGATGTTCCCCGATATCCTGAGGAGGGACCTCGTATACCGTTACCCTGGTCTTACGTCGGCCTTCGTACTCTGTACGCAGTATTATTTCTTTGTTAATAAGCTCACGGCTAGCCGCGGCGACGCAATCTTCTGATGTGGGCAACAGTACGTCCCATTATGAAAAATTTAGCACCCTTAACTATTCTAAGGGCTTGAACCCGAAGGATTCCAATGCTTTTAAACTGTGTTTTCGTCGAGCGACAAATTTTGCGCGTACGCTTGTCCACGACGAAAACTGACACTATTCTTTTGTCAATTTTTTTCAATTCTTGGGGTCTTCCAAAAGTCCACCTTCTACAACAAGGTGTGCGTAACTTTTGGCACGCTCCAAGAACTCCGCTAAATTGATAATGCACTTAGGAGGGGACGACCAACAAGAGGGCGATTCCCGGCCTCAGGCTCAGTTTGCGGTTTTTTTCCGGAATCTTACAGAATCATGGCCATTATTGGCCTCCATAGGTGAGTCTTTTCATTATTGCCATTTTCGGCTTCCGTAGAAAATTAATATTTTTTTTTTTTATTTTCTTTTTTTCCCCAACAGCATCAATGTTGCTAGGGGAAGAGGTTTTAAGAGCAGGAAATTCCAAGTTATCTTTGTCCGGGGGATCTTTTTTGGTTGGATTAAAAGGTGTTTGCGTATAGCCTTTTTAGGCTTTTTTTTTAATAGCCAAAAATGAGGGTGGTTTTTCCTTTTTTTTCTCCATTTTGAAAATAATAAGGAAGGGGGGTAAAATACGGTGGGGAAACCGCCTTATAGGCGGAGGGAGGGAGAAAAAAAATAAAGGGAGGGTAAAAAGGGTTTTATCAACAACAATTAAACAAATACAACAATAAAAAATCAAACAGGAGGCAAAAAAAAATATAACCACAAATGTAAACAGGAAAAACAAATGGACAGCGAGAGAAAATGTGAACAAGGTTCACAAAACGAAGAAAGAACGAAAATTTAAAGGACAACAGACAAGAAAGCAACAAATTAAAAAAACTAAATATAAACGGAGAAAAAGAAAACGCAATACGTACGAAACACAAAAAAAGTTACAATTACAAAATGGCTGCCGCTAAAAAAAAAACGGTCAACCCAAAAACGTTAAAAAAGAGGAGGGACAGAAATTACAAAACAAATATTATAAACACGTAGACTTTTTTTTTTTTTTTTTTTAAACGGGTAACACAGAAATAATTAACACGTAAAAAATAAAAAGGTTAAACGAGAAACGAAAAATAAACAGAAAAACTCCGGGATGTGGGTACTGAAAAAAGACTCGGAAAAACAAAAATAAATTAAAAACAAAAAGGAAGTAACAAAAAAAAGTAACGGGAAATGAAAAGGAAAAACAAAAGGAAAAAATAAAAAGTTCGAAAAATGACAAGTTTTCGAAAAAGAGTTAGAAAAAATTTAATAAATTAAATCAAAAACTTAACTAAATTAAGGCAGTCTGAAAAGTTGAAAAATAGTCCTTTGGTAGACAGCAAATATGTCTAGCACCGGTCAGGAGAAGAAACGGTGTAAACGCAAAAAAAAAAAAGGTCCGTCGTCTTCCGGTACCAACCCATATTTATATGGTCGGTACTCCACTTATGTAAATTAGGTGTATCATACACAACATTTAATATGTTCCACGACAATTAATAGGAATAGGTTAAAGATCTGTGGTTGATATCGGCCCTCAATAGAATGCAATATCAAAGAAAGGCCAATGCTACCAATAAAAGTTAGTCTAAAGCGAGATTCAATTTTACCCCCTATAAATAAGTAAAGAAGTACCTTGGAAATCTTTTTTTTGTTATCTTTTTTCTTTATCTGGCTTCAAGAAATTGAAGTAATGATAACACAAGAATGATAAGTTTAGAAATAAATTAATTTTTAAACAATAACTGATACTTTTCTACTGTTGCTATTCATCATTATTTATTAAAGTACAATATAATTATTATACTTAAGTACAAATTAAAAATAAATCCATTAACCATGTCCAATACTTTTCTATTTTGTTCTCTAATCGTTGTTTAATAAAGTACAAAAATATAATTATAGTTAAGCAAGGACAAAATAAAATATTATTAACGATGTGCAATGTTTTCTACATTTTGTTCACTAATCGATGTTTCATAATGTAGGATATTAAAACAAAATATGTTAAAAATCGCTACACAATGGCAATTATGTTCCAACACTATAAATGTATCACTCCTCGTGATGGTAAAGTACTAGCGAGTGAACGATTAATTTAATTTCACACACACACACACACACAAATATATATATATATAATTTATTCGAAAATTGTAACAAATATCTTATAAAAACACTACAACAATAGCAATTTTGTTTCAACACTTCTGGTGTCTTATCAAGTGATGGTGTTATATCTTGTTACATTCAACACTATCACTTGATAAGATACCGAGGGTGTTGAAACAAAATGGCTATTTTTGTAGTGATTTTATAATATATTTATGTTATAATTTTCGAATAAATTATATTTGCTCTGCTCTGTATTGAGCACTCTTTTAAGAATAGTATTTTTGGTTACTGGAATTTATTCCGTATACACCAAACCTATACTTGGGTATATATATATATATATATATATATATATATATATATATATATATATATATATATTTCTGGGCCTAAGCATCTATCCATTACACCCTCCGTACATCAAGTATACAATAATACATACATCAAATTCCTCACAGGTTTTTCCATAGAAAGGCTGTTTACAGTGACACTGTCCCTGCTCACAAAATCCGTTTCCACTACAGACTTTCTGAAAACAAAAAAATAGAAGTTGATAAAATTTGTTGGGCTATTTTTTTTGGTTGGTGGGTATTCTCTATGGCAAGTTCACAAGCAGCATACATTTTGAGTCTTAGAAAAAACAATTGCATAACCAATACAGAAGTAACCATTATAAATGCCCAAGCCATTTTCCCACCGACGTAACATAGCCTCCTGGTGCATTTCTATAAATATTTTCTTAGTAATTGTTCTGATGAGCTTTCCTTTTTGCTACTGACTTTACGAATTGAAGAGCAGTGCTATATTGGCAGTTAGGTCTCATCATTTTTACAGTTGACATATTCTATGCTAATAGTTTCTTGTCTCACCCATCTCGCATGTGAAACACTCTTCCGACTGCCTGACTTCAAGTCAGCTTTGATCTTGAAATATTTACATGCAGTGTTAATCGTTATCTTCTGAATTCTTGATTTTTATAGTGATCTCTCATTAATAATACTTTCCTTTATCTCCTATTTTTTCACATTCAGTATCCTCTTGCATCTTAATGATCTTGTTTTGAAATATTTATCTGAATTTACGAATTAAAGATTAAAAAAAATAAATGGACTGTGTAAATTAAAAAAAATGCACAAAATGAATTAAAAATACAATTCTATGCATTGAATATTGTTGTTAAATCGGCTTTGCTGATCCTGTGTTGAACACAAATGTAAAAATATGTAAATACAGAAACAAGACAGAAAAAAGAATTGAAATTAAAATAAGGCATTTCCACTACTTTAAAACTCATCTCTTTTTCTCTTTTTACTCTCTCTCTCTCTCTCTCTCTGTATGCTTTTCTCTCTCTCTGCTTCTATCTTTTATATATGCTTCTCTCTCTCTATGCTTCTCTCTCTATGTTTCTTTCTCTCTATCTTCTCACTGCTTCTCTCTCTATGTTTCTCTCTCTCACTGCTTCTCTCTCTCTATCTCCCTCTCTCTCTCTGCTTCTATCTCTCTGCTTCTCTCTCTCTCTCTCTATGCTTCTCGCTCTCTCTCTATACTTTATCTCTATCTTTCTCTCTCTCTCTCTCTATATATATATGCTTCTTTTTCTCTCTTCTCTTTCTCTATGCTTCTCGCTCTCTCTCTCTCTCTCTCTATGTTTCTCTATCTCACTCACTATGCTTCTATTTCTCTCTGTTTCTCTCTCTCTGCTTCTCGCTCGCTCTCTCTATGCTTCTCTTGTAGAGGGTGCAAAGAAGTCTCTCAAACAAATAATAAAAAGAAAATACACTACAAATAAAGTAAAATAAACTTTTGTTTATTTTTGTAAAGAATTATTTTTTATCTTGTACAAAAATGAAATTGTCCGTAAAGCTGCGGAAGAAAAAGAGAAAGAAAGGAACTGGGAATGTGAGAGGGAAAGGTAGGGACTAATGTAGCGAGCGAGATGAGAGAAAGAGAGGGTGAAAGAATGTTCACTGATACGTGATACTGCCTGTTGTGTGAACCACTGAATCCTCTGGTGTGTGTGCTCGAAACTGTCCGTGTCGCTTTGATGTCAGCTTGTCGCTGTTCTCTCCCCTTCTGATGAGAGTTTCTACCTTCCTTATATAAGAATGATGAGGCTCCGGGGAGATTAAGAAATAGGTTTCTTATGTCGAGCCATGATTGGTCAATAAATCATATTTTTGACCACGTGGTGTGCTTTTCACTACGTCCGAACTTTTGGGTGCGCCGTTCTTGTTTTTGACCCCACAGGGCATGGTAAGGAATGAATTCGCGCAATTGTATTTTTTTAATACACGTGGTGTGAATTAATTTTTATTGTGTATGTGTGTGTGAAAAATAAGAAACAGCACTGTCTCCCAGATTGGAAAATATATGAAAGATACATATGTTTTTCAGTATGTGATACATTCTTTAAAATGTTTCGGCCAGTGGACTTTTCTGCCAGTTTTCGTTGTAGGTGTGATGTCAGTATATTGTTTTTTAGCTTCCTCATTTTCTGTGTGAATATGTGTTTGTGGAGATATTGTATGAGGTTGTTCGTCGATGTACGCTGGTTTGATGCGATCAATAGCGATATTATCTTTCTTTTCTTTTCTCATAACAGTAAAATATTTTTCATACCTGTCCAGAACTTGATATGGTCCTGAATAATTTGGACAGAGTGGTTTTTTAACTGCGTCATTTCTGATAAATATATATTTGCAGGTGTGAAGATCGTTTGGGATGTAAGTTTGTTTCTCTGTTTTCCTGGTTGGTGCAAAGTTGAGAAGAGACATTTTATGTTTTAATTCTGTTACAAACGTTGTTGTAGGTGAAATGTCTGTCTTGTGATTAAAATACTGTCCAGGTAATGTTAATGCTGATCCGAAAACTACCTCTGCAGGTGTGCTTTTGCAAATCTTCTTTCACTGTGTTTCTTATCGCTAAAAGAATTAGCGGTAAATTGTCTGTCCAGTCCGCATTATTTAAATTCATAGCTAGAGAAGCTTTTAACTGTTCTGTGGAATCTTTCAACCATCCCATTTGCACAAGGGTGATAGGCGGTTGTTTTGATGTGATTCGTTCCTAACAATTGGGTAAATTCAGCAAAAAAGTGTTGATTGGAATTGTGAACCTCTATCTGTTGTTACTACTGAAGGTACTCCAAAAATTGCTATCCAGTCCTGCAGTATAGCTATTGTTGCAGCTGAAGTGTCTTTGACTGCTATGGCTGTAGGCCATCTGCTAAATCTGTCAACTATAGTAAGAATATGTGTATGTCCTTTTGAGGTGGGTAAAGGTCCTACTAAGTCGACATGAATGTTGGTGAATCTAGCATCAGGTATGCTAAAAGTGCCAAGTGGTGTTTTCGTGTGTCTGTGGATTTTGTTCTTTTGGCAAGGTATACAAGTTTTAGTCCAATTGCGAATGTCCGTGTTAATACTGGGCCAAACAAAGCGTTCTGCTATTAATTTTACAGTGGCTCTTTTTCCTGGATGAGATAAATTGTGAAAATGTTGAAAAACTCGTCGTCTGATGTTCGGTGGTATATATGGACGCGGATGTGTTTGTGATACATCACAATAAAATTTTGTTGTACCAAATGGTATCGGCATTTCTTTCAGTTGTAAGGATGTTTTTTGTTGTACAACTGGGAGTGTTTCATCTGTTTTCTGCTCTTGTGCGATCAATTCCATACTTAAAGAACTGGAATTTAAAGAGGCTATTGTAGATCGAGATAATGCGTCTGCTATAATGTTCTCTTGTCCCTTAATATATCGGATGTCTGTGGAGAACTGGGCGATATAATCGAGATGTCTGATTTCTCGTGGACCATATTTATCTACATGTGTATGTAGTGCATATGTTAATGGTGTGTGATCTGTATAAATGCAAAAATTTCTTCCTTCCAGTAAATGTTTAAAATGTTTAATTGCAAGGTAAATTGCTAGAAGCTCCCTTGAAAAGGTGCTGTATTTCGTCTGTGTCTTGCTTAGCTTAGCAGAAAAAAAATGATATAGGCGTCATTGTGTTGTTAGCAATTTGGTGTATGACTGCTCCTACAGCTATTTCAGATGCATCTGTTGTAAGCGTGAATTTTGTGTCCTCACTGTCCGTTACGTAGTTTAGTTTTGTAAAGTTGGCCAAAAGCAGTTTTAGCTTGTTTGAAGGCTTTAGGCTAGGCCCTTCTAACTTTAACTGTTGGTTCTTTGTTTTGTTTTGTAACAAATCTGTTAACGGTGCAAGTAATGTAGAACAGTTAGGTAAAAATCGTCTGTAATAGTTAATCACGCCTATGAATCTGCGTACTTGTCTGACTGATGTTGGTTGTGGGAAATTTGAAATTGCACTTACTTTTTCTCGGGTAGTGGAGATATTCCGTCCTTGTCAATTAAGTGTCCGAGGAAATTAACCTTTGATTGGCTGAAAATGCATTTCTCTGTATTTATTTTCAGACCGTAATGTGATATTTTTCAAATGTTTGCTCTAAGTGCTGTCTGTGCTCGTCTAGGTTTCTGCTGGCGATTAAAACGTCATCCACATATGCAAATATAAATGGCAGACCTCTAAAAACTTCGTCTATTAACCTCTGGAAGGTTTGACAGGCGTTCCTAAGCCCGAAAGGCATCCTTACGAACTCGTAAAGGCCAAATGGTGTGGTCAGTGCAGTTTTATGAATGTCCTCTTCTGCCACTGGAACTTGGTAGTACGCCTTTACAAGATCCAATTTGGAAAATATGGTGGCGCCTGGCAGACCGATGGCGAAATCGTGGATATGTGGAATAGAGTATCTATCCGGGACCGTTTTAGCATTTAATCTTCTAAAATCGCCACAAGGACGCCATGTTGTAAAGTCGGACTTTTGCACCATGTATAGCGGTGAAGACCAAGCACTTTTCGAGGGTCGGATGATCCCTTGCTGTAATAAATGTTGAAACTCGTTTTCGCAATCTTATACTTGTCCGGTTTCAATCGTCTGGGGTGGCATAAACAGGTTGTCCAGTTGTCTTGATATGGTGCTTGGCATTATGTTTTATGGCGTCTGTGTTTTAAATGGCTGGGAGAGTTGTGGATATTTTTTAGTAGCTGACGGATGTACTGGTCCTCGGGTAAGGCAGAACTGATTCCAGTAGACTGGTATTTCGAGGTGAGTCCTCTTACTGAAATCTTGGTTTGATTATCCACCAGTGTACGATTAGTCATGTCGAGACTGACAGGTTGAATCTGGCTAAAAATCTGCCCTCAATATAGGCGTTGTTACACTGGCTATGGTAAAATTCCAGAAAAAATTCCGTCGCATGCCGAGATTGATATTGAGCGATTTTCTCCGTAAGTTGGTATTTTGGTACCGTTAGCTGCTTGAAGATGATAAGACTGTGGCATAGTCTCCTGATTTTGTGTTGGTGGTATCACGCTTATTTCAGCTCCGGTGTTTATTAAAAAGTTATATCCATTAATTTTGTCGCGGATATAAAACAGACGACCTTTTGTTAAAAATCCAGCAACAGCCGTCGTCTCTACTGGCTGGAATTTCCGTTTCCCGCATTCGTG